TTTGAAAATAAATAATGTTTTTTATACCGAATAGTACTTCAAACTAAACTTATGAATAATTTCAGTGTATTAATAAATTTTTTACAAAAGTTAAATAAAAAATAATTAGGTATTGTAAAAAAACGTGAAAAAAAATTTTTTTTCTCAAGTATTAGGCAAAATTTTTTTAGGTATGAGACGACAGATCAAACATATCGTCAAAGTAATGATATATGCGTGATGTCGATCACAACCGATATTAGTACTACAATGAAAGATCAGTTATTGCAGGTTAATTAATAATTATTCTATTTATAACACTATCATTTCATTTATTTTAATAAGTTTCAAGAATAAATTAACTTTATTAATATTAAATTTCAGTTTGGATTAGAAAGATATATTACTATACCTATTTTCTTGATTGTTGGAATGTTACTAGGATACATAACTGTTGGAGCTATTTTGCTTGGTTTTTGGGAACATTGGGATTTTTTTTCCGGCTTCTATTTTTCATTCATAACAATGATGACGGTTTGTTATTCAATTTGATAATTGTAATTTTTAACTATTAAATACATGCAACTTATGTAATAACTACAAACATTTATTGTAATTCGAACATATACATAAATTTTCATATGCTAACAAATATTTGAAATACAAAAGAATCTATCTTCCTGATATCGCAATTATTTTTATTAGGTTGGATTTGGTGATATTGTACCAGTGAAACAAGAATACTATTTGTTCGACCTTTTATACATTATAGTGGGATTAGCTATTACGTATGTTCCAAAAATAACCTTTTTTTGATTGGTTTTTATTGTTAATTAATTAGAAATGCAATAATCAAATAACACACTCCTACTACTAATTTACATGAAATTACTTATATGATTTTCATCATTTTTAGTTAAATATTCAAATTTTGTAGGACAATGTGTGTTGATCTTGTTGGAATTCAATACATTCGTAAAATTCATTACTTTGGACGAGCAATCAAAGATGCTCGATATGCGTTGGTTAATGTCGGTGGTAGAATGGTACATATTCCGGATCTCATGCGATATGCATCTGTTTTGCATCAGGTATGCAGTCGGAAGAGCAATTCGTCAATCTATTATATAAGTCCAAAATTTGTAATTTATTTTTGAAGCATTTATAGTTTGCACCACAAAACTTGCCCATTATTCAATATTGAGCATAATTTGCATAGATTTTTAGATGAGAGAGGCAGTTTTAAAAAAGTGTAATTTATGTAGAAATATGGTGAAAAAAGGCAAGGACGTAAAATTCGACTGAAAGGAGCTTATGTTCCTGAAGATCTACCTTTAATCCGATACATCGACTATGGATCTCTTGCTAGTGGTGACTTCGACTTCATTCCAGATGATCATGACAAATTAGAAGAAAGATTAAGCGCAGTGTAATGCGCAATAATTTTATTACTATTATTAATATTATTAAAATTATTAATCATTATCCGCTTACTGCGAGAAAGCTATATTAATATATCATTTTTTTTTATTATCATGCTGTCATTGAGCAGAGAAACTGAAAATGTTAGTCTCTTTATATTTAATAAAACTATGTATATACAATAACAATATAATTTCAGTGAAAGTGATGATATAAAATTTCTCAGATCCATATCTGGTCATTTAAATATTAATGAAAATATGTTGAATTTTTGTCTCCTCTAGTCATTTTAATCATTTTAAGAAATTGCATTGATAAATAAATAAATTATAGACTAATATATCTCTTGTGAAAGATTCAGAAGTCCTTGTGTTTACTGCATTCAGAAGAGAATTTAATGCTTCAAACTAACATCAGTAATCAAATAATTTTTCTGTACCTATAAAATTTGATCAAAAAATTAAATACATAAATTCTCTTCTGAAATTTATGCAATATATGTTATCTAGCGTCTTTATATTTAATCGAGGATATATGAGATGAGATGCTTTCGAGCATTTTCTTGAGTACTACCGATTGGATATATATATGCCTCCATGCGATTAAATACACAGATTTCCTTCGCATAACGATTGTGAAAGTCCGCCACTATTCCACTCAAAGTCTTCATGTACGGAATTATTTTGGTTCTGCATCTCACCTTTTCCCCGAGTTACTAGCCAGTAAATCGTACTTTCGCTTCTTCTCGGTCTCAACTGCTATCAACCTGTCTTGACCAATGGTGCCAACCTCTATCAGCATTACTTCACGTCACTTTTTATCGTGTACCAGGATGTCCGGTCGATCTGCTTTTACTCTAATTGCAGTTCTCACTCGCATATCGACTCTGATTCGGACCGGCTCTACATGCGCGGAAATAAATGCTTTTAAACATACTTTCTGCAGAGCCCTAAATGAATACATCGCAAGACTCATGGAGTGTCCTCTCGTATATTCATGATATAACATTTTCTCGCAGTGTTGCTAGATGGTCCACCATCTTCACTCGTTTCCTACAATGTGTGTATGTACTTTTCCCAACTCCAAACACATTTCTGCATTGAAGGTGACAGTATGGCGCTCATCCTGTGGGGTGATATTTCCAAATATTGATGAGTATGACATTGAAGGCAGCTCATTTCTGCGCATCTTGGATAGCTTTGCAAGGCGAGTTTTCTTTTTCGCCTTGCAATATCAGTCAGCCATTGCCTTGGGGGAACTCTATGTGACAGATTCAGTCCCTGTGCTTCTTGCATCTTTTCTCCTTTACATCCACATAAACTTTTCACTCGTGTAGCGTGCTTCGTTCGAAGCGTTTCATGGACTCCAATAATAACCGTTTCTGCGAGAACGGACAACCTGCAGTACTGGTGATTGCAGAATTCGTTTGTTTCTTTTGTTTTTTCCGAGATTATTTTCTCCGTCCACTTTGTCAGGTATTCTTGAGGGCTAATCACGTACACGAATTTCTCGTAATACAGGGAGCGACACAAAGGCCACCCGTTCTCAGCACTTTCCCGAAACGATCAATAATCGCCTTCTGCACTTCACCTAGTTAACTACTTTGCGGAACCTCGGTTCCTCGAATGATATCTTCAAAAGTGGTCATCATGCTGATTTCTGATTGCAATAAACTGGCAGAGTGCTCTCTCACATCTTTCACGGAGCTTTTCACAATCTCATCTGTTCTTGACTGTACGATTACACAACATTTTTCCTTTTGATTCCGAGCTCGTTTTGCATCATTTTTTTCTTTCGCTTCATTCGTGCCATGCGTATCATTCTTCTTCACTTTCATTCTGCATTTCGTTGCTTCAGAAGTACTGCAACAAGCGGTTGCATCAACATTGTCGTTACGGTCTGTTACTTGTTCTCGCTTCGTGGAAGTCGCC